TCAACGGCTCGGGCGATTAATGATGACTGCACATTCGCCTTCGTATTCTTAGATGAGCGGGCAACCCGACAGGGCGAGTCCAGCAAAGGATGGACGATGGCGAAGAAATCGCTGCTCTATGAGGAATGTGAGGGATCCTCCAGAATGATTCCTCCATTATTATATCTTGACGAGCCTCCAAATTCGCACCCGTATAAACGCTGTTGCAATACACAAAGCGGTTCAAAGCAGTTTTTTTTTCCTTGAATTTTGTAAACATGTATGTTGAACCTCTTTCGCATCGTACGTAGCCAACCGTGCAATTCGTAGGATGCAATCGCTGATATTCCCTTACTCTTCCCCATTTCGGTCTCCCCTGAAGGCCGAAGTTGACAGTTCCATTATGATGCTGCTTATTCTTTCTCCAGCAGCGCACCGTCAGTGTTGGCACTTGCATTTGCTTCCTCCCCCCGTTTGTCAGTACACCACACACACACACCCCCTGTATTTTCCCTACTGGGAACAGAAATAAATGTAATTGTGTTGTTCTGCCACACATTGAAACGTCACTTATAAAATGGTCTCGATCACAGCCATTTGTCGCGTTCGTCCGCGGTGATGGCGGCAGCAGTGGCGGTGTGGATATAGTTTCCTATTCTTGGCGTAATGGTCAGCGCGCCAGTTTGGATGTCACGTGCCGCCGATGTTAGCCGTGCTCTGGAATCGAACGCAGATGGGGTCTGGGTTTCCACGGGGCAGCCTGCTCACCCGCCGAGACTGTTCTGGACATGGGGTGTATAACAACAGTCCATCGCCCAGCAGTTGATTGACACCGGCTGTGACCGACACTGTAACTCTTGTCTTAATGCACTATAAGACGATATTAATAACGATAGTGGATTGCTGCCACAGTGGTGTAATGGTTTGCACGCTGGACTTGCAATCAGAGGTTGCCGTTTCGATTCAATTACATCCCCCCGCTCCTCCTAGCCTCTCTCCAGCTAGCGGCGTCAACGGGTTCACCAAAGTCAATCGCCAGGTCACCATGGGTTATTCTCATCTCTTCCAAGATGTCCGGCCAGTTTAGAAGAGTAGGCCCAAGTACAAACCCTAGTGATTGGGCCCTCCTAGAGCTCTTGTCTTGTGGTGCGAGCAAGCAGTTGCAGGGCTGCACCTTTACCGTTTTAGTTGACCGTTTGGTGGCTAGGGGATGTTAGTTTCCTTGCCTGGTATACAGGAGGTCGTGGGTTCGATTGCGTGTCTCTTTCTGTCCCTGTGGTCGTGTGGATGTTCCTCCGGGGTTTTCCCTCCCCATTTAGAATCGGCATCACACATTTTAGAGTTATTGTCTGCTTTAAATTTCCACGCTATGATAAGCCCACTTCGTAGAGCTATCGTTTGTGATAACCAGGTCGCTTCTGAAAAAAAGAACCCTTTTATTTAGCTCGTTGGGCCCTGACCGTGTAAAATAAATAAAATAGCTTAGTTTAGTCTGTCGCGTTTATTTTTAACGACGCCTTACGGCACGACCCCAACAATCGCATTGGAGAGGGCGGCACAACCGCGAGCAAACCGATGCCAGTGGGTGGTGGTTCTGCGCCTGGTGTTTTTTTTTTACGATCAGTGGAAACAAGAAGATGCTCGGTGTAGTCGGCATTTTGCTTCGTTCATCATTTCGTAAATATGTTTTTTTTTTACTTTGCTGTACCGCTTGCGGTGTTCGCTTGTAATGCCACCATTTTAACACGTAGTAGGAGGCTTTCGCGACCAATATCATCCACAGCAAGAGGCTTTTATGGGGTTAGATCGCGTAAATATAAACGTGTCATTAAACACCGCCCCCCAACTAATAACCCAACCAATAATAGATATCCCATTGTAATTTATGTGAATCCATTTAACCCCCCCCCCACCACCCTCTGGTCTTCGCACCTGATTTGCTCACAAGTGACGACGTCGCATTTGTACCCCGCTCTATTTCAGACCGAAACAGGAGGAGGATTTCTCCACAGCCCTCTGGCTGTAGCCTCATGATGCTTGGTTATAATTACCGGCGAAATGTCACGGTACTTGAATTGTAAATGTAGTGGATTTAACTCTCCAACGAACAACCAGTTAGTACTGAACTAGTAACGAATCGGCACGTTTTCCTTGACGAACCTTGCTAATTGGCTTTGTTGGGTGGTGGCGGGTTTAACAACACATTTATATTTACAAGATCTAAGCCCCAAAAAAACCTCTTGTGGATAATCGCACCGTTTGTTGCACACGGGGATGTGGGGCGAGCCGAGGGTAATTCATATTCTGTGCACGCTTCTCTGCGGCCAGCCCTGGGTAGAAGATTTAGTACATGAAACGAATGTGAGAGAGAGGGAGAGTGCAAATCAATCAATTGTTCAGAGGATCAATAAAGTATGGCCCTTATTGCGTGCACACACAAAAACAGACAAAGATCCCCTGTGTAGCCTGAACATACTGTTGGGGAAAGTGCTGTTAGCGAACACCTAATGAAGGCCAGAATGGTACACGAGGGGTTGGGGTGGCCAACACCACGCCCGACCGCCTTTGTCTCCCCAGTGGCGACGTTTACACACCGCACCAGGTACTCATTTGAGTCAACCTATGGGACACTCAGGACCGGTTCGGATAATCCTCACTTTCGTTGCCCGTGAGCGGGAATCGAACTCTGGTCGCTGGGTTCGTAGCACCGCGTGCTAACCGCTACACTATCTCGTGTGCACACACACAGACTACCCACCCCCCTTATAGGCTTAACAGATTATTGGGGACAAGTGCTGTTTGTGAGCGTCTAAGGCCGGCCTTGCACAAAAGGGCTGGGTGGCTGATGTTTACACATCACAGCAGGTGCTCCTTTTGAAGTCGCCCCCTCCTGAGGCCCCATGACCTCGGTCACATGTTCATCGCCCGATTTTTGGTTGCAAGCGGGAATCGAACTCTGGTCCCCCCCGGTTCACGGCACAGCACGCGAACCACCGCACCACCACTTCCAGTATAACATGTCGTGTTGTCCATCCTCTGATTAGAACGGTTTGGCTACATACGGTGTGAAAGAAGTTCAACACACACACAAGCTGCCCATAGCCTAACACTACCAATAGACTCAACACTGCCCATAGCCTAACACTACCAATAGACTCAACACTGCCCATAGCCTAACACTACCAATAGACTCAACACTGCCCATAGCCTAACACTACCAATAGACTCAATACTGCCCATAGCCTAACACTACCAATAGACTCAATACTGCCCATAGCCTAACACTACCAATAGACTCAACACTGCCCTTAGCCTAACACTACCAATAGACTCAACACTGCCCTTAGCCTAACACTACCAATCGACTCAACACTGCCCTTAGCCTAACACTACCAATAGACTCAACACTGCCCTTAGCCTAACACTACCAATAGACTCAACACTGCCCATAGCCTAACACTACCAATCGACTCAACACTGCCCATAGCCTAACCATACCAATCGACTCCACACTGCCCTTAGCCTAACACTACCAATAGACTCAACACTGCCCATAGCCTAACACTACCAATAGACTCAACACTGCCCATAGCCTAACACTACCAATCGACTCAACACTGCCCATAGCCTAACACTACCAATAGACTCAACACTGCCCATAGCCTAACACTACCAATAGACTCAACACTGCCCATAGCCTAACACTACCAATAGACTCAACACTGCCCATAGCCTAACACTACCAATAGACTCAACACTGCCCTTAGCCTAACACTACCAATAGACTCAACACTGCCCATAGCCTAACACTACCAATCGACTCAACACTGCACATAGCCTAACCATACCAATCGACTCAACACTGCCCTTAGCCTAACACTACCAATAGACTCAACACTGCCCTTAGCCTAACACTACCAATAGACTCAACACTGCCCTTAGCCTAACACTACCAATAGACTGCCCATAGACTCAACACTGCACCTCCAATTCACACGGTTGGCTATGTACCGTGCGAAAGAAGTTTAACACGTATACGCACACGCGCATCGCGTAAGTCTAAAATCCGGAGTGTTTTCTTTTTCCTCCGTGTGCAGTTGGACTGAACCTTGAGCTGGGATTCATAAATCGTGTATATGAATGCATTCTGGAATGGATTTGCAACGCACGTTTGTCCTCAGAAGCGTTTAATTTGGCCACAGTAACATTCTGTTCCACGCCGCACAGCGAGATGTCAATACTTTTGGCAACTGCATTTTATTCGTTTCGTAACAAGGGCCCCTTTCTAAAGGATGTGTTGTCTACTCTTCCGTGCCGGTCAAATGCCTTGGAAGAGGTGGGCTTACCCACACATGTTTGTTTGTATGTATAGTAACTCTTTATTTATTATTTAGGGCACTTCGCGCAGGTAACTCAACTTAGACGGGGATAACGCACATATCACTTGTGCCAGGGATAACGCACAGGGATGGCACGCAGCTAGCGACGGCGTGAAGACAGCGATGTGAAGACAGTCGACCCCGATCCCACGGCAGCCCCGACCCTTGCCTCTCACCTTCTTTTATTCCCGGCGTGGCCCTCACTCTGGCCCCGGCCACACCCCCTTTCTCAAACCTTCTACCCCATTCCCAAACTTCCCAGTTGGTTCTCCTTCTGCGATTTTCCCCTCGTGACCACTGGGCCAAGCACTGTCTCCACCCACGCACTGTGTCTACCCCCGCACTGTCCCTACACATGTATGTATGTTGAACTTCTTTTACACCGTACGTAGCCAACCGTGCTAATCGAGGGGCCGGGGAAGGACCACAAACGAAAGACAAGAAAACAGTTGTAAAAAAATAAGCTTGTCAATCTAGACAATGATTGAAAGGTGCACAACTTCCTAAGAAGTGCATCTAAAAGCGCCACTCGATGCCGTGACCACCGTCTTTATTTGATAGCCAGCCAAAAGCTGCTGCAAGCGAGGATGACCGCAGTTTGCGTGATAGTTTATGCTCCTCTCTGCTGGGTGGACACAGACGGTTGGAGGTGGGAAGGGGGATATTGGTGGGGGGGGGGGGGGTAAGAAACTTGCTCCATTGCTTCAACTGACAGTCCTCTGGATTGCAAATCTGGTGAGTTAACCATTACAACCACGGCAGTCTCCCCAAAGCCTTGGAAAGCTGTAAAGAAAGGACCAAGACTTTCCCTCCGGTGGGTGGGTGGGAGAGTTGATGGTTGTTGAGTAAGTGAGCCTGATGCAATGTGTAAGCTTCATGTGTGTGCGCGCGTGCGTGTGCGTTTCCTGTTATCAGAAATAGTTTTTCGTCCTTTGAAACCTTAACCCTGTAGAAAACAGCCCACATCGATCGCAGAGTTCAAAAGAAAGCTGGGCGATAAAAAGCAGTGCCTGAGTGTCGTTGAGCCCCGGGTTTAGCTAGCAGCTGTGTTGCCGACTGCGGTGTGCGAGGAGCTTCTGCGTGCGTGTGTGACCTCTCGTCTTCACGCACGCACACGCGCGCCGCGCACACACATTGGAAAAAAAACCAACAACAACAATGGCGGCACCCAGTCGGTTTCTCCAAGTCGCCCATGTCGGAGACGAAGTTCACCGGCGACTCGGCCGAGCTGTTCTGCGAGGTGGTGGGCTCGCCGGTGCCGGAGCTGCAGTGGTGGTTCGCCGAGACCAACCACATGGACGCCTTCCGCCAACTGTGGGAGGGCGCACGCCGGCGCCGCATCTCCGTGACCACGGCCTACGGCTCGAACGGCGTCAGCGCCCTGCGCATCGCGGCGCTCACGCTCGAGGACTCGGGCGTGTACGAGTGCCGCGCCAGCAACGCTCCGCAGCGCAACGACTTTCGCCGCAACCCGGCCATGAGCTGGATCCGAGCGCAGGCAACGATCCGGGTCGTCCCGCGTGAGTGACCCCCCCACACCCCTGCCGCCTCTCCCGCGCTTTTGCCGGCGCCAAGAGGTGTGTCGGCGGCGCTGGGCGACGGCGTCCACGCTCGCCGCTCGCAAGACGACCCCGCGGGGGGTGAGACGGTGTCGGCACGTGGAACCGGTTTGCGAGCTGTGCTGGTGTCCAGGAGGCTGCTGCGATGCACCAGGGTGGGCGATAATGCAATAACAAAACTAAGTCAATGAACATCTAGGGCTCTCGTCTCCGGCGATTGTTGCTTCGGTGATGGTTGTTGCTGCAACAACAAAAACATTGTTGCCTAAATCTGGACGAATTCAATCGCTGCCTCTTCCACCCCGCCCCCCCCAACCTAATAAACAACTGCCATAATCGGATTGCTTGCAGAGGTCACGTGACTAACGGGGGTTTGTACTCTCAATAGACCAACCATTGTGCATCAAATAGACGTCTCGGCAAACACATTTTATAAATTGGCTTTTAAGGAATTCCTCTCGTTCTCTGCCATTTACCACAACACTTTGCCATTTGCCTGCTAAGTAGCCCGTACAGTTGCTCGTCGTAAAATACATTGCCGGTGCTGATTGCCGGCAATTATTGTCCCGAACTATAATCTGAGTGTATGCACGTGCGCTAAACTTATTTCGCACTGCCCGTACGTAGCCAACCGTGCCACATCTGAGGTGCGGCGTTAGGGTGGGGGGGGGACAATAAAACTAAACGCAAAGAACCACGGCTCTTTCGTGACCACCAAAATTGACGATTTGCCGCCTCCGTTCAACCATTTTCTCAGTAAGTCGCAGGCGACTTTTGTGGTGTTCTGGAGCGTAATTCGGCTGTTGCTATAAATCTCCACGTGGTGAGCTACCGTTTGTGATGGGTAGGACACTTCTGATGAAGAGCTACGTAGACTCAGTTGGGTGGGCCTTGCCCGGTGAGATAAAAAACAACAACGTAGTTTAGTTTTAGTTCAGTTGGCGCAACCGGCGGCGTGGTGCCGGCTCTGGGGGCTTGCGAGCGCGCCCCCCGAGCTCGCTATTATTGACCAGAGACGCAGATTTTTGCAATTCGCCGTTTTTTTTAGAGTCGCGCCTTGACGTCTTTTAACGTTTCGTGGAAATTTCTGCCGCGGGAAGATTTTTTCCCCAAGCAATTTTGTTTTAATTAATTTTATTATTATTATCATCGCCATTTATTATTATTTTATCGCCCACTTCCACCTTTGCTTGAGTATTTTGTCATTTTTAAGTAGCACAGCTCCTGAATCTCTTCCACTGCCACCTCCCCCTCTCTCCACGGTGGTCGTCCTGCGACGCGTAGCCGTCAGCCTCCCCAGCAAGTTTCTCCCTCAACGTGGTCCTCCTCCTCCTCGTCCTCCTCCTCGTCCTCCTCCTCGTCCTCCTCATCCTCCTCCTCGGCAAGATGACGGATCCTCCCCTCGGAAAACCGACGTTCCTCCTCCTCCTCCTCCCGTCGACACCAACCATGTTCCCTCCGGGCCGTTCCTGCCGAAAAATGATCCCCCAATGAACCCTCAACGATTGCTTTTGACTCCCTTAAGTCCAAGCCGCCCTTCTCCCCGCTGCTGCTGTTGTCTTCCCGCTCACTCGCTCGTCCGTTTGTGTCCAAGCCCCGTCCGTCGTCCCGTTCGTCCCTGTGTTTGTTGTTTGGTGGTTGTTGGTCTAAGCCAAGGGTTCTTCAATGAAAGGGGGCCTCATGGGGGTCGGGCGACATCTGGCCCATGAAGGTTGTCTTTGTTGTGACTCACGCAGAGCTGTATAGTTCACCTGGACAGATGGGGAGATGCGGGGTTAGTGAAAGGTAAGTTATGGATGTTGTATGCATGTATGTTGAACTTGTTTCTGCACTGTACGTATCCATCGGTCATAAGCAGAGATGCAGCGTTAAGTCTATGGGCAGTCATCTTCTTGGTTCTTTCGGTAAAATCACGTAGAAGGGAAATAATAAAATCATCGAAATCTTCCCCTTCCAGCCCAGCTTAAATATACGCTCCAAGCGTGGTGGTGTTTCATTCAGACGCTGTCTCCCCGACAGACCTGGTCTTCACCTGAGGACGGCTGCTTGCGTTGTGGCCGAAACGTCGTGAGAATTATTTATTGTTTTATTTTATTATTTCCCTTCTACTTGACTTTACTGAAAGAACCAAGAAGATGAATCTCTGCAGTCAACGAAAGCTTTAAATCGAAATCTATGGGCAGTGTTAGTGTATGGGCAGTATGTACTGTGTGTTGAACTTTCTGCACCGTACGTAACCAACCATGCTTATTGGTGGTGCCGGTGGGGGGGGAGATGAACGATTAAAAAATGTGATAAGTGAGCGAGAGAGAGCAGGGCAGCAAGATGTAAAGACCAGAGAGGGGTGACCCGTACAGATGCTGTGATGTCGCAGTGCCACAATGTGACGTCACGACTTTTCTGCAGTCTGTTCTCTTAATAACGCAAATTGGCTTCGTATGAACACGATCGAGTGACCGGAACTACGTCCGCGCGAGTGTGAATGAGCGGTTGTGACCGCCGCCTCCCGGCGTAGCATCACAACAAGGCGTTGGGATGCTGCTGGATCCTTCTAGACGCGTGACCCCACCCACCTCGGTCTTTGTTCGGCCCTGCGGTTACGCGTTTCGCGGGTTATCGCAGACCGTGCTGTACCCCCCACTATGTTACGTAGTTTTTTATTCTAACGCGGTGTTCTTCAGGAACGCCACGACTACTAGTCCTGTCTTGTAGGAGAACAGACTGCTCTGAAGGGTCGCGGACCGACGTTCCGTTTCGTTGCGACGGCACCGCGCCAGCTTTACGGGTTGACCCCCACCGTATGCAATCGAGTTGAAGAGCCCTGGATTAGACTAATCTTTTATTGTTTTTATCAAAATAACTTTTCTGCTTATTAGTTTGCACTGTCTGGTTCCCTCAATCCTTTCCCTTTGTTGTGTGTCAAGTTGTAGTTTTAGTTTTTTTCATTTATGATTTTTAGGTTTTACCAACTGCTGATGGAAGAACCCCCAACTGTGTGTATTTTCCTGCTTGTAGGTTTTTCTTTGACGTCGTTTTGTGAGCAGTCGTCCGGCTAGCGGACCCAAGTGATGAACAGCGAAACAAAAGTGCACAGTCGAAACGTCGAAAGTGCGAACCGATTTTTTAAAATAAAAAAACCTATACGCGAAGATCTGCCTTGAAAGCTGGGGTACATCCGTGAAGACTTACCCGCTGTGTCATTTCACTGCTGGGTGAAGGCCTCGCCAGACCTTGCGGGTTGTGGGTGGGGTTTTTTGACCGTTCGATAAGTTGGTGAAAACGAGGAGCATAGGACTTGGGAGCTTTGCAGTACAGTACAACAGTTGTTTTTTTTCTGCGCTACCCACTGCTGCTCGCCCACATCTTTACTTGAGGACAAAAAAAATATTTTTAATTTAAAAATCGTAATTCGCATACCAACAGGAATGTAATCCTAATCGTTGTCGCCGTCATCATCAGCAGCATCATCATCATGATCATCGTTGCCTTTATCGCTCGACCTGAGGATAGCCGGGCACGCACCCGCCGTTTCACGTGATGGCTCCAATGAAATCCAGTGCAGAAAACTGCACGGGCACTCGACAAAACCGGTTTGCTTGGTGAACACTGCTCGCACCTGCCCCGCTCCCTGACGCAGTTGGGCGTTCTTCATCGTAGTAGTCTTCGGTCTCAGTCTGGTCCGTGAACCCACAGGTGGGCTATTTAGTCGAGTCTCAGTCGGAGGGGTTTCATGGAGTCCATCGTAAATTTAGTCGGACTCCCGAGTGGTGCCACACCGTGGTTAGATGTTAACTACCTCGCCTGGTGTACAGGAGGTAGTGGGATTCGATCCCGACCCTGACGCCTGCTGTATTTGTGGAGTTTGTGGTGTCTCTCACTCTCCCCTCGTGGTCGCGTGGATTTTTGATGCTGGTCCTCCAGTTTTTCCCCTCCACATTGAGAATGAGCATCACACCTTTTAGAGCATCTGGCCGCAGTACATTTCCAAGTGATAACCGCTGCTGGGTCTCGCCTTGTGGAGGGTTACGTCAAATATCTCCTTTTGTCCACTTGCACTTTCTGAGCCGTGCCAGCAAGGTAACGGGTTGTTTTCCCACCGGCACTTTTTTACCTGTCCTGTTACGCCGGCCGTGTCTCTGGCCCTGGGGGGGAGTGCGTCAAGTGACGTTGCACAATGCGTGATATCACGTTAAACGACGTCATCTACGTGCGTCTTGATATCACGAATTGCGCGCGTGATGTGGGGATCGCGCGTTTAATTCAACCAAACTCGTGCCCTTCCCGGACCAGCGCCACGTTGGTTCGGCACATGGCCAGCACGGCTCGGATTGTGTGCCAGTGGCAAAAAGAGGTGAAAAAAATTTACCCGTAATAACAAAGTTTTCACTATAAATCCTTTATATGCGTGGCGGCTAGAGTCCTCTTGTCCTCTGGCTTGAGATGGCTGCCACCTATGGGTCAGATGATTGCCTGCCACCATTAAGCAATTGGTAATTAAATATAATTTATTTTTTCCTAAAAAGTGTAAAATTTAGGAGTTTTTCACGAAAATAAATTGTCACGCACAACGAGTCTGTGTGCAAAATGTCAGCTCGATTGGATCACGGGAAGTGGGTTAAAAAACGACCGAAAGATTTGCACGGTCGTAAGCGCGCAAGCAAGCAAGTGAACTTAATATAAAGGATTTTTAAAAAACATAACTACTGCTCGCTTAACATAAGTCCATACCTCTCCCCCCACCCGACCACCGCCCCCCCCCCTCCACAAACGACAGATTACGATATCAAGACGTCGCCCGACATCACCCTGTCCAACAAAACGACGGAGGAGAGGCTGCAGTGCAACCTCACGCTGCCCCAGTCGTTTTCGGCGAACGAGATCAATTGTCACTGGGAGAAGGACGGAGAGCAGATCGGGACGGAGCAAACGGTGCAGATCACCGCTTCACGCATCGCCACCTTGGACTATACGTGAGTCAAAGCTAACGCTTTAAACTACTTAAGCTATGTTTTTATTTCCCTTTACCATGTGAGGCCTCAACTGCGCTATATATATTTTTACGGTTGATCGTCGATAATCCGGCGCGTGATAATCCACCTTCCAGCATTATTTGGTGGTCTGCAGGCCGATCGGGCGGAACCGAAGGCTGTAACCAACCAGTCCGGTGATCGGCACCATGGGCGTGACAGCAAAAGTAGCTTTGCTCGATTTCGGTGTTCATAGATTGTATACGGTACATTATACGTTACATAAAACAACTTAAACAATTAACATACTGCATGTGTATATATACAGTACACACACATTTTCACATTACTAATTTATAAAAAATACTAGCTGTACTACCCGGCTTCGCCCGGGACTTGGATCCACCACGCCCGGCCGCCTTTGTCTCCCCAGTGGCGATGTTAATACGCCACACCAGTTACTCGTTTTGAGGCTGAGTCCCTCCCTCACCGCTCTCCCTCCCTCACCACTCTCCCTCCCTCACCACTCTCCCTCCCTCAACACTCTCCCTCCCTCACCACTCTCTAGAGGACGTGAAACTTTGATGAATTTACCTCAGAGTCGCGTGGTGGGTGTCGAGGCCTAGCACGTGCAGAGCCTCCGGCCTCGCCTAAATTGCCCACCCGGCTGAGGCTTCCCCCCCCCCCCCCCCCCGCGCTACAATAATACTGTGTAATCGCTATAATTTTATAATCTACCGACCCTATAATAGTAATTGCACACATTGTGGTGGGGGGGGAGTGAAGAGGACGTGAAACTTTGATGAATTTACCTCAGAGTCGCGTGTTAATGCGTGCGCCTATTTTTAACGGGAATTAAAAATGGCGTCCACCCCGCGGCTACCCGTTGCCAGGGGCAACCGCCGTCCAATGAAACTGCATATGGTCCGGCGACACACAGACACACACACAGACAGACAGATAGACAGACAGATTCGCGATTTTATATATATAGATACAGTGGGATCCGGCGAAAGTGCGTGTAATTCATTGTTCTCCGCAGCGCCGGTCTAAAGGCTGTATCGGTCCGTTAATTTTCGAAACACGTTGAAACAAGAGCGTACGTTGTATGTATATCACCCCATGCAGAGTCTTCGAGATTGGAGTGGTAAGTACGGTACAGTAAATACGGTAACTTTACGATTTCATCTTTATTTTTGTCTTTCTATGTTTATGCCAATTCCAAATAGCAAACAGATGTGAAACACTGAAAACAACATACAAACAACACCTACAAACATAATGTTATACAAGAATGTGCAAAAATTAGCTATTTTTAATTAATTATGATGAGTGATTATCCGGCGTTTTTTGAAAATACGGCAACCCCTCCCCCCCCCGAAGCCGCCAGATAATCGATGATATCCTATGTAGCTCCTTTTCAGAAGCGACCTGGCCAAAAATGATAGCTCAACGTTGGGGCTTTTCACGTGGAAGATTTACAGCAGCAGCCAAATACGCAACTCGTGTTTGTTTATAAATGCGGAAGGAAAAACCGGAGGACCTCGAGAAAAATCCACACGACCACGGGGGAGAGACCCACACAAACTCTAAATATGCAGCAGGCGTTGGTCTCGATCGAGCCCACGACCTCCTGTATGCCAGGCGAGGTCGTTAACTTTGTGTTAGAGAGACGGGGGGAGCAGGGGCGCAGTGGTTTGCGCACTGCACTATGAGCCAGGTGGCCCAAGTTCAATTCCCGCTTGCGACCAGTAACCGTGGCGAAATATTTAAACCGGTCCTGGGCAGCCCCTGGGTCAACTCGGCCTTCGACGAGTACCTGGTCCGATTTGTTAAACATCGTCACTAGGGAGACAAAGGCGGTCGGGCGTGGTGCTGGCCACCCACCCCCTCGTGTGCCGTGCCGGCCTTCATAGGTGCTCGCGAACAGCACTTGCCCCAACAGTCTTAATGGGGGATCTTTGTTTCTTTGATGTGTAGTCCTCGCTGTGACCCAAATCCATGGATGCTGACTGTCTAATGCACGGCTCGTTAATTATTAAGTCGTCACCTGGGGAAAAGCGTTCTGGCCTCAAAACGATTCTCCTCTCCAAACTCTCGTCGTCCCTGGAATGTTTTAATGAAACTAATAATACAAATATATTCTTGGTTCTTTCGGTAAAGTCCTTTTGATTAAATCACAATTTAATGATACAAACTTACATTTTGAATTGCACACGTGGATTACAGAACTTACATAGTTTTACTAGCATCGGTCGTTGTTTGGAAATGTAAGTGGGCTTGGGACGTTTCAAGTGTAAGGTCCACTGAGCTATGCAGCTCTTTTTCAGAACAGACCTGGCCACAGATGATAGCTCAACGAAGTGGCTTATCGCCCCAGGGAGAACATGCAAAATCCAAAGAATACAGTAGGCGTCAGGGTCGGGATCAAACCCGTGACAACCCACCACGCTAACTGAACGCTTCTGAGGACAAACGCACAATGTAAACGTTAGACAATCCACGCTCTACGCATGAATCTTCTCCCGCTCGTCGCTGTGTTTTACCCTCGTGCCCTTGGGAACGCCCTTGACATTATTAAGTCGACCTCCAGCAATCCATGCGACTACGGGGAAAGAGAGACGCACAAACTCGAAATATACAGCGGGGCGTTCAGGTCTGGGGCAACCCCGACGATCTCATGCATGCCATTTTTCAATGTAAAGCTTTCGTGACTGCAGGGATTCATCTTCTTGGTTCTTTCAGTAAAGTCACTTAGAATGGAAATAATAAAATAATAATACATTTCTTGTATTCTTTTATTATGTTTTATTTTTATTATTTTATTATTTCCATTCTACGTGACTTACCGAAAGAACCAAGAAGATTCATGCATACCAGGCGAGGGAGATGACATCTCCTAGCCACCGTCTGGGAGGAAATCAGAAACGACCCACCACACTAACCGAACCCCTCCTGAGGACAAATGCGTTGGAAGCGTTCCCGAATCCATGCTGTACGCGTGAATATTTTTTTTCCCGCTTCATTTCCCGCTCATCGCTTATCTCTCCCCCCCCCCCCCGTGCCCTTGGGAACGCCCTTGACAACACAAAATGGCGTACCATTTCCTCCGTGCAGGAGGATCCATAGATCTGCCTCGCGCAACAAGCGATGGCGCTTCCTACATTGGCACTCCGCTGGGCTGGCGGCAAGGAGCGCGTGCGGCCGATTAAACAAGCAGGGTGCCTTTTTGTTGTTGTTGTCGCCGCAAATTGCCCGCGGAAAATTTGGGGAAGAATCGTGCCAATAGCGAAATCGATGTTGCCATTGCGTTTTTGTGGGTGTTAGTTGGGGATGTGTGGAGCGGTAGTCTAGCGGTTAGCGCGCTGCGCTACGAACCCACCGTCCCGAGTTGGATTCCTGCTCACGGCCCAACACCAGTGACGATTATATTAACCTGGTCCTGGGCCTCCCCTAGGTCGACTCGGCCTGTACCTAGTGCGGTGGGTAAACATCGCTACCTTGGGTGGCAGAGGCAGCCGGGTGTGGTGCTGGCCACCCACACTCGCCTCGTGTGCCGTGCCGCCCTTCGTAGGTGTGTCTCGCTCGGAGCACTTGGCCCCAACAGTCTGAGGCTATACGGGGGATCTTTGTCTTTGGGGGGGAGGGGAGTGGGGGGGTACAGTCGCATTATGACAATTTAATTAATGAATTAAAAAATAATTCCCACCATTTCTCAATCTATCAATCCGCCAATGATATGAATGGGTTCCCACTTTGATCGTTTAATACATTTTTTTGACCGTACATCACCACCCTGGTCAGTGCGTGTTTTGTGATGTTAGCCGTGGTTCATATCCTACTACTGTTTTTATTTTACCAGGTAAGGCCCCACTCGGCTGTTTTCTAGCTCTTTTCTCAGAAGCAACCTGGCTATCGATGATAACGAAGTGGCTTGTCTTCATGTGCAAATATAAAGCAGCAGCCACATGCTGTCAACGCGTGACGTTGATTTTAAATGTGGAGGGACCCACAGAGAGAGAGACGCTAACTCCAAATATACAGCAGCAGGCAGTAGGGGTTCGGATCGAACCCTCGACCTCCTGTATACCAGGCGAGGTAGTTGACATCTCCTAGCCACCGTGGCGCCCCAATAGCACAGCTTGCAATCATTTGAGGGACTTTTTTTGGTTATTTTGACCTTTCCAGAATAGTTTAGCTGGGTGTGCCGTGCGCGTGCCGTGCGAGCGGAAAATGTTTGTGGCCTGCTCGCTCGTGTCAAGCCCTGCACGACCATTTTGTGGCGAGTCCCATTTCACCATTGGAACCTCATTTGGCAGTAAAAAATATGATAATTGTTTTTTTACCCTTATATCTGGCAACAAAACTGACACCTTTTTTTACAAGGAGTCATGTTTGCTTGGGTGTGGACCAATCAACTTCAAGGACAGTGCATATATTATCAGTTATGTTTTTTGTTTGCATTATGGCTGCAGGTATTGTGGTCTATGCAAACATGACTCCTTGTAAAAAAGGTGTCCGTTTTGTTGCCAGATAGAAGGGTAAAAAAACTATTATCGAGTCCCATTTCGTTTGCGTCGTGCTGTGCGAGCGTGCCATGCGATCCTCGTGCCCGTTAGTGATGTACAGTTTGCCGCACACCCTGCTGGGGCAAGTGTAACGATCAGCGTCCGACTGGACTTTCTTAAATCTGCCCCCCTCCCCATCGCTACCCGCCCCGGAGTGAAAGAAGAAGAGATGGGCAGAATGCCCTCCCTCCTCCACCTCCTCAGAGAGAGGATATTTCCAAGAGCTCACTTCAGTGGTGGTCCCTCCAATGTTGTCGCCGGCACTGCGGCTTGAGCAGCCAATTGCAGGGTTGCACCATTGCATTTGTCTAGCTCCATCTTCCGCACCTCCGATTTAGCGCGGTTGGCTACGTATGGCGCGAAAGAAGTTCAACATGGATGTATATGTTGGGTGTGCCATACCGTCGTCGTTTGCGATGCCCTTAAGCAGCAGCT